TATAAATTTTTAGTAAAGATCTGTTGATTCTGGAGGAGGATTCGGCTATGTACCTTTTTTTACACTAATAAAAATTTATCATTGATATATTCCTGCACCTGCCATCTAATTTTATTTTTGCGTGATGGGAAATATTTCTCATCTGGTTTTGTCTTTTATAGGCTGATGTCGAAAAAATAAATAGCTTATGGAAAAAAGCTATAAAAGAAAAGAAGATATTACCTACACCAGTGCCACAATCATCTCCATCATCACCACTACCATCAGTATCATCATTAGGAAAAAGGCAGAGGGGGGAGGACCATTCAGCTATAATAGACGTCCCTATAAAGAAGCCATGTATAGTTCCGGAAACAAGTTTGTTCTGTCCTAATATAGATGTGCCTTTGCAGGTCAGTGGAAGTGTAAACACTCTAGAAATAATTAAATATGCCGTCCGTGTATTTGACCGAAAGACAATTGCCTTAGGCTCCACCCGCTCCTATAAATGTTCGAACCATTTGCAAGTAGAGTCCAAGTGCAATGAATGTGTCCCAAGAGAAAGTGTTTACGATGCAGAGATGTATAGAATCCTGCATAATTGGCTTGCAAAGGTGCACGGGTTTGAAATAACTGGCCAATGGCATCTAGAAGGAATTGGTAAAGATGGAGACTGGCACCATCTTTTTTGTGACCTGACAATAAAGAAACCGGATAATCCCTATCCTGAAGTAATTCTTGAATTACAAGCAACAGGATCTGTCCCTTCACTTACGAAACATTTTAACCGGATAATAACATATGCCGATCAGCTTCGCCCTCAAGAAATCTGGATCGTGCATTTTTCTAGGGAGGATTCCGTTGTATCTGACCCATACTGGCCCTGTAAGAGGCTTCAGGATAGGGGATTAAACGTTATTCATTTCTGGCATGATGAGAACTTTGGGAATATACGAATGAGTGCCAGGTTCCAGGATGTCACTGGCAAAGTTTGTACAATAATAGATGAGCGAATTCTACCTTAATGTATTCCTGTATTATTAATAAAGCTGGCCCTGGTGGTCTATTTTTGAAATTCCATTTTTTTTGCGCCATGTATAAATATATAATGACATTTAAGTTGACGTAGTCAACCTTACTATCCAAATTACCGGCTTCCCTAATAAATGAGGCATGGATACGTCTCACATCACGGAAGCGTAGCCCATTATCTGAAAAAGAGGCCAGTAAAATTAATCCAATTGTAGGCTTATCCTTAGGATAAGAGCTACTAGATATCAGAAAAGATTAATGCGCCAGAGACGAACCCAAAGTTGGCCAGAGTGCCCGACATCATTATCATTCAAAAAAAATACCATTTATGTATGTCTCAGATAATGATACTCAAACCAATAGTATCACATGTGATCACGAGGAAGAAAATAATCGCC